CATTGGTGTGTCTAATACCTAGAACACTGCCTAGAATATAATAGGCATTCAGTAAATCCGTTAAGTGAAAGGATATCCACTTTCAAATTATCTTTCAGCATCTTATTAGTCACTTTAATTCTGATTATTTAGCTCTAAATTTGTTTTGATCTAACATTTAAAAAAGTTAAACCCATGAAGAATTTAAAATATAAATTGATTTAATAAAGATGGATTTTTTTTGCACATTGAAAATGACCGTTTTAGCTACACATCTTCAGCTATGTAGAATTCAGAAACTAATGAATTCTTTCTAAATCATTCTGACGTCAGTTTCCTCTTCATGCNAACTGTTCAATTCAGTAACTACTTATTAGATACCTTCCATTTGCCTATAAGAGTTTCTTGACGAAGTCAAAGTGTAGAAAACCAGTTATTAAATGATTTTGTACTTTCCTGAGTAGTTTTCACTGAAATAATTTTTGTGGCATGTAAATATTTTTTGTATTTAATAAAATATAATACTTAAATTGTCTGACTTGTTCTCTAGTAGAAAGAAATATATGACTAAAAGTTTCTGTCTTTGTTACTGCACCAGGTGACAACAACTTGGTGTCTCTCTATGACCAGCACTACTGGGCTTTTGGGTGGGACAGTTCTTCATGGGAAAACATTGTCATCCCATTGCAGGATTCATTTAGTTCTTACCCACTAATGCCAGTCATTGTGACCACCCTCTCCCCCAAGTAAAAGTGCCCTAAACTATTGATGGTTGAGAACCGTTTAATGATATTCACCAACATTTGAGGGTATATTTGGANTAGAATTCAGAAACTAATGAATTCTTTCTAAATCATTCTGACGTCAGTTTCCTCTTCATGCATATATGCCTTTTGATCTAGGAGTTTTTCCTTGTTTTAACTTTGTTGTAGCTCCTATGAAGGGCCAGTAGGGGGAGTGCTTTCTCAGGCAAAGCAGGCGATGCCTTGTTGCCACCACAAGTTCATATGTAGCATATAGAAGCATACAATCTTATTTTTAAGAGTTTTAGTTTTGCCTTTTTAAAGTTTATCTCATTTTCTTTTCAGTGAAATTTTTCTTACCATGAATGGGTAGGAATATTTTTTTCCCATTTTTTGATGATGTAATTTTTCTACCTAGAGTTGACAGAGTGCTTCAAAATAAAATTATAAATTCTACTTTTCTAATAAAAATAAGGCTTGTAACACAATCACTTTTACAAAGCCACAGAATTTCTGTGGTGTTATGAAGGAATCCTAGTAAAACTTAGTTACACTTGCTTGAAAGGGCAGTGTGTGGCATTCTCAGCAGTTAGGGGTGGGGAGTTTCTCAGAACAATGTAGACTCCCATCTCCTCTTCTCTGTCTTCACATTGCCTGTTCCTTATCCTCACCTGAAATAAGATTTATTGGGGCCTGAGAAATTGGAGAAGTTGTGTGGTATTTTTTCTATTCTTTGTTTGTAATTTGCTTTCATTATCTTCAGACTAGGCAGTGTTGCATTCATTCATGTGTCAGGTTACATGCACCACAGCAGCAGGTAGCTTTAATGCATTTCCCACCCCAGGNTAGAATTCAGAAACTAATGAATTCTTTCTAAATCATTCTGACGTCAGTTTCCTCTTCATGCGTGTGCCTTTTGATCTAGGAGTTTTTCCTTGTTTTAACTTTGTTGTAGCTCCTAGGGCCAGTAGGGGGAGAACTTTCTCAGGCAAAGCAGGCGATGCTTTGTTGCCACCACAAGTTCATATGTAGCATATAGAAGCATACAATCTTATTTTTAAGAGTTTTAGTTTTACCTTTTTAAAGTTTATCTCATTTTCTTTTCAGTGAAATTTTTCTTACCATGAATGGGTAGGAATATTTTTTTCCCATTTTTTGATGATGTAATTTTTCTACCTAGAGTTGACAGAGTGCTTCAAAATAAAATTTTAAATTCTACTTTTCTAATAAAATTAAGGCTTGTAACACAATCACTTTTACAAAGCCACAGAATTTCTGTGGTGTTATGAAGGAATCCTAGTAAAACTTAGTTACACTTGCTGAAAGGGCAGTGTGTGGCATTCTCAGCAGTTAGGGGTGGGGAGTTTCTCAGAACAATGTAGACTCCCATCTCCTCTTCTCTGTCTTCACATTGCCTGTTCCTTTTCCTCACCTGAAATAAGATTTATTGGGGCCTGAGAAATTGGAGAAGTTGTGTGGTATTTTTTCTATTCTTTGTTTGTAATTTACTTTCATTATCTTCAGACTAGGCACTGTTGCATTCACTCATGTGTCAGGTTACATGCACCACAGCAGCAGGTAGCTTTAATGCATTTCCCACCCCAGGAGTGGACAGCTAGAGTTCTAATCAGAAATGTCACAGGTAACTGCTTCTGGTATCTCAGTCACTGCTAGACGTTTTGATATATTGCAGAGTAAATGTTTGAAGTGGGTTTTCTTTTTGAAATCATAGCTTGTTGATCAATATGTACTAATAATAACTCTTACTGGTAAAACTAGAGGTATTCAGGATATGAACTAAGTCATTTCAGAGTAGTTCTTCATCCTTGCATGAAAAATAAGAATCTAGTAAGTCCTGTGGCCTGTACCTTACGCATGGTGGCAGGATTTCTGGTTGCTGTTGTTGGCAGGATTAGGACAATCCTATCTCTGGAATATGGTCAAGCCTGTCTTAAGTGGACCTTTCATGCAAAAGAGGTGAGTGAACTACCAAAATAGAGAAGTAGGGCTTCATTTGGCTCACCAAACAGGTTGCATGAACTTTTTTTCATGCTTCCTAATAAGTGTCTATTGAAATATGTATGGGAGGGCCGGCCCGTGGCTCACTCGGGAGAGTATGATGCTGATAACACCAAGGCCACGGGTTCGGATCCTATATAGGGATGGCCGGTTTGCTCACTGGCTGAGCGTGGTGCTGACAACACCAAGCCAAGGGTTAAGATCCCCTTACCGGTCATTTAAAAAAAAAAAAAAAGAAATATGTATGGGAGACAGTTTGATCGGGGCCTGATTTTTTTCCCCCCTAACTTGGTACAGAGTTTGTAGGGAAATAGTTAACCCTCACCCATATCAAAAACGTCAGTGCCAGTTACCTAAATTAAAAGAATTTTAAGAGCTGTGTGTATTAGCTCAGGTCTTTAGAAATATCAGATGTTTGACTGGTTTGGGATCTAGGTTGCTGGTGCTCACTGATTGAATTTAGAAAGTAGCTTGGTTCTACTTTCTATATATACAGTTTTCAAGTGAGAACGCAACTTTATATTAAGTTGTACTGTGCTGAACATTTCTAATGTGGTTTCTTAAGATTCTGGG